GTACTGCTGATTAACCACGTTTTCAGTCGATGGGGACTTCCACTCTGCATTGACTCTGACCGAGGAACTCATTTCACATCCAGTGTAATGACGTCCCTGTTTGAACTTCTGGGAGTGGAAGTGAGATTCCACCTCCCCTATCACCCACAGTCATCCGGACAGGTCGAACGGATGAACCGCACGGTCGTCTCTATGCTCAAAAAGTACGTCTGCTCCACTGGGAAGGACTGGGACGTCAAGCTCCCTCTGGTCCTGATGGCCATACGGTCCACTCCCCAGCGATCCACAGGGGTTACGCCCTTTGAGATGATGACCGGCAGACTGATGACTCTACCACTGCACCTCCTGTATCACCCAGAGGATGTCAGTGTTGCCACTGCCTATACCGCTCATCAGTATGTGGCAGACTTGAAAACACATCTCAGAGCTACGTTCGCGCACGCTCAGAAGAAACTGGAGACCAACGTAGAAGGCGCTAAAGCCTACTACGACCAAAAGACAACCAGCCGCGAATACGAGGTGGGTGACAAAGTATTCTACTTTCGGTTCGCCCAACCGGCACGCAAAGCTAAGAAGTTCCTGCCCTGCTGGTCAGGACCATTTGAGATCGTGGCAAAACTCTCTCCAGTTGCATACAGGTTACGCATCACCAAAGCGAGACAGGAGCCTGTCTACAAATGGGTGCATGCAAACCAAATCAAACCCTACGTCAAACCATCCCCGCGGGTACAGAGACCAGACTCCCCGCAGGAGGTAGACGTAGTCTCGACATAGTTCTATGCATGGAAATGGAAAGGGGGGGAAAGTGCACGTTTAACCCACTAACATGTACTAACCGACAAAGAACCAGGCCCCCCCCCCCCCCCCCCCCCGCCGTCACTTTCACTAACCAAGAGAAACTCCTTCCTAGACCGCTAACAGGATGTACCTACTAAAACCTTACAGAGTACTCTGTTACCTACACTAGGCTCTGATTAATGAATCTCTACGTGCAATCAAGACTTTGTCTGAAACCATACCTCAGGATATTGTGTACACACGAGTGGTGAGAGATTTGATGTAGGACCTGCTCAGGGAAGTAAGTTCCACGCTGGACAGCTTGGTTGAAAGTCGTATTTCCCCGTACTTGGTACCACTGGACCTGCTCAAAGATAGCTTGACAGCTGCTACCCCTCTACTGTGCACCTTTCACAAATCCACCTAGCGTACAGCCTAAGTAGTGCAATGCCCATTCACGTTGAAAAAAATTAGAACTCGGTTTCCTGTTAAACGTTCCCATAATTGTGACACCTCACATCTATAGGTTTAGGTCGATGCTGAACATTGGTATTTGAAAGCACGGTAGGCATTTCCACTTTGAACTAGAAACCTGACACTCCATCACCTCAACCTCGAACAGCATGACTCAGAGATTGAGATCATGGACGCTTTCCAGGGTTATAACTTTGCCTTCGATTTAGAAATTGACCAACAATTACTGATTGAAGGAACCAAATTTGTTAAGTTCACACAAAACCCGCGTGAACTTACTTTGACGCCCAAGACGCTACATTGACACAGATTATACGACTTTAATCTGCACATTGGTCGCCCTGGGGATGGAATGGCTCATCACGGCCGTGATAGCTTATTCCGCCTACAGGCGTGTTAATAAACTCCAAGATAAGATGCACTTGCTCACCTACGGTGTGCCTCGTGACCGCGTTCGGGTAGACTCCAAGCGCGAATGTACCACACCTGTCTAAAGGGGGTGAGCAACATTTTCTTTGTTATTCTGTAACCCTAAGAGTAGTTCTCACTTTAGTCTACCTCACATTTTTTATCTGAGTGTTGCATTATGTCACATTCTTTATAAGCTACACACTGAATGTATGACCTAAGAATGTATTTTATGAGACCTCAAGGTTGCTATGAATTTTCTTGGGTGTTATATGTTTTTTTTTTTGGGGGTTTTCTGTATTTTTGTTTCGTACTTGGTCACATATTAACTAGTGGTTATGTGCCGGCCCAGCTCAGTCTGTCAATGACTCTGTCTGACGCACCAGCACATTGTAGTACCTCTTAGTTTTATGGTCCTTGTTTTAGCCCAAAGACTGTCCTGATCCACCCTTTGGACCAAAAAGGGGGGAATCTTGGGACCACATAGGTCAATGCGCGTTTGCGAACTATGGACCTCGTACATCACCGCGTGCTCCATAAACTGAACTGTATGGCCGGCGGTGAGATGCCTTTGTGTCCCCTCGTGGAGTTAACCGCCCACCGACCTTCCTGCTTCTACACTACTACCTCTCGCATGGACGACATCTTCATTGCGTACACCTGCGTGAGTGGCTTCTTCTCGTTATGCGCGTTGGGGACTATCCCGTTTCCTATCCTCTTTGTACCTGACCAGGATCAAAGACCAAAGGCGCCAGGATCCAAGACAAAGACCAAAGACAAAGGCGTCCAAGGAGACCAACGTCCTAAGGGACAAACCCACCTGTGCTTCCGACAATCAAGTCGACCTACGTTCATGAGGAACAAACCCATCTGTGCTTCCGACAATCGAGCTTTGGGCGCGATCCCCGAAACCAAAAGGGGGAATGTTGAGGGTCTGACCTCATGAGGAAATTACTATGCAGTGATTTTCTCCAAAATGACTGTGCTTAAATTGCTCTGAAAAGCAAATAATCACATCAGCGCCAAGAAACTTCATTTCCCATGATGCTTTGCACACGGAAGCATTGTGATGACGTCACCGCCTGATACCAGAAACACGATCTGCGGGAGGCGGGAGCTTGGAGCTTTCCCGCGACTTCAAAGACTATAAATCATGAATGAGACAAAGAAACCTCGTTCTTTTGCCCAGGATACCTGGCGGTAAGGACACGCTTGTCGAACGCTCCGACAACTTGAGCACGCGGAAGCTCTAAGTGCCCAAGTTGAGCCCACGCAACCGCTGGAAACTACACTCAACTCCATCGGGACCTGACTGGGAACGAGCGGAGCTCCATTCAGCTCTCAGAGACGCTGTAAGTTGTCAAACTCAGCACAAAAGAAACTTCGTTCTCTTTGTGTCCAGCCCGTGGAGAAACACTCCCGGAGAACGCCAAACAACGGAGAAAGCATCAAACCGACGGATGACGCTGAAAACTGCGGAGAAAACGGAGAACCGTCAAATCAAACAGCTGGGGACGCCTTGCTGCTCTGGTGATCAGGAAACTCATTTTTCTCTCTCCTTTTCTTCTCCCGTTTCCTCTGTAGTCCAGAATAAGCAATAAAACCGCGCTATTGCTTAAAAAGTAGCTTCGTGTTTTCCTCTTTCGCTCCCAATTCGTCCTTCGGGTCATTTTGAATAAATAAACTGCTTATTGATCATTGTTTGGTATCTTTAAATGTTTTCTGCTTGGCCACGTGGTTAAACTAAAAGATATTATTCGTGATTAATCCTTTGTGTTGTTTCATGATCCTTTGAAATGTTTTGAGTGAATTTAAGGTTAAGTTACTGATGATTCTAAGTGCCTTGGAAGTTAAAGTGCAAGTTGCCACTCACACTTTAGCCAGACAAAGGGGTCAGCCATCTTGCATACAGACTCCATTTTAGAAACACACACACACATACATACACACAAAACACCTTGAACATTATTTTGAATATACATCCTTTTATTATATCACATGGTTATTATTCATTTATGCCACTGTTTATTCATTTGACAAATTGTTAATTAAACGTTATAAAATTCAGATTTTCGTCTCCAGTAGCTTTGTTGTGTCGAAGAGAAGTCTCTGCTCCAAGGATTCTACGAACTTCAAGAAAGACTGATAAGAGTTTTGGATTCAAATTTTCCCCGGTTAAAGGGGAATGGTGCCCCGTATATCTAAGAATATCTTAATTAATTAATAAATCAGTAAATATTTACATATTTACAGAATTTATTGAAGAATCCAAAAGTAAGTTGAAGCTTACTAATTGTTCGCTCCTAATAACCCCAACATATATATATATATATATATATATATATATATATATATATATATATATATATATATATAAGAAAAAAATCTGTTTAATCAAATTAAAATAAAAAAATATACATAAAGCTGTGTCTGGTTCTAGCATTTCATATTTCCTACTGCATGAGTTCAGATGTATTAATCCATGCACTTAAATATTAATGTTCTGATTTTATTGAAACACTTGTTTTGTAATAGTTTCTTTACTATTGTGATCAAAAATATTTAATCTCAATTCCGAGGCTGCTCTGTAAATAGTTTTCAAATAAACAATACACATATCAACTTCTGATCATTCCATATCAATTTCAGACTTAAAATAATATATTGCTGTAAACCACACCCACTTCTGGGTTATGCCACGCCCATTCCGAGTACAGATACAGTTACTTTAGTTGGTTGAACAGATACAGATATAGATAGTGGTGTACTCGCTCATCCCTACCCAAAACCCATTTTCAGCTGTGTTTGTGCATTTTCCTGTATCTGCTGCAAATTTAGAGTTTTACTTTGAAAATTGTGAAAACTCCAGAATGGAGCTGGTGGTCTCTTTTCTGAAACCTGGATTTTCTGACAATTAATTATACACTGAGAAAAAAACACAGCAATATAAACTATGTATCCTGTCTACAAAGATCATGTAATGGCCAGCACAGAATAGGTATGTCAATCTATTTTTTTAATCAGCTGTTAGTGAGTGAGTGCCAAGACAACAGCTGGTTTGAATAAAGCCCAATTTATTCTTCTCCATCTGCATCAGTGCAGAGACATGCAACACCACATACATATATATGTATATATATGCAACATTACAAGATACATAAATCACGTGCAAACAGCAAATGAACAAAATGAGATACTATTTGCTAATAGACCACAGTTGTACGTATAAAAATGTTTTAGATTACACCTCCTAGTTTGAAAAGCCTCCAAATATAATTCTTAGATCCTAATGTTTAAATTGTGGGATCGTTTTTTTATTCAGTTATTTTTTATTCCCTCAGTAAGCCAGATAACTTCCACCAGATTCCCTGCTCGTACTCGTCTCAGCGGTCCCTCTGCTCATGTGCTCTGGAGCAAAACGAAAACGAGCTGAGGATCCCACATGTGGCCTCCCTGTGTGTTTCGAGCTTCGTAGGAAACACCACCAGCCCTCTATTTTTTTTCAAACCTCTAGACATCTGTAAGTGGGAGTACTAATTACTCACACACACTAAAAACACTGGTAACCTGAAGCTGAAATCTGTTTTTTTCTTCATGGTTCTTAAGTGAAGCCTGACCCCCCCTCTGATGTGAAAACCCACCAGCTGGAACAGCAGGAGAAAAAGATAAAGGTCACCTGGAACTTGCCACTGACCTGGAGCAAGCAAGATAACTTCTATGACATAATTTATGAGATCAGATATCGACCCTTGACATCTGTAAATAACCTGGTGAGTTATGACTAACAATTCGATAATCTACAGATCGCCAAGATTGTATTAGTTCCTTTTCCGTGTCTCCTTGCAGGTGTGTAAAATTAAAAGCAATCGCTTCTACATCATTGCTGATGCTTTGCCTGGTGTCGAGTATCTGATTCAGCTTCGAACCAAGGAAGAGTATGATGGACTGTGGAGTGAGTGGAGCTCACCTGTATATGCCAGGAGCTGGACAGGTAAACACACACACACACACACACACACACACACACACACACATGACTCTTGTACAATGTATATGTTTTTTTAAATGACTCTTGTATATACGTTTGTGTGGACCTCCATTGACTTCATTTTAGTGTAGGGCTGCAACAAACGATTATTTTGATAATCGATGAATCGGATGGGGTCTCGACACGATTAATCGATTAATCAGATTACATAGGGACATTTTTAAAAACTGCTAAGGAAACGTTATTTCTCTCTTTCCTTCACTTTATTAAACACAACATTATTAGAAAACAGTTCAATAGCAGAAAAACAACATGCCATCACCTAAATTGTCTTATAAGGTGTATAGACAGAGACCCTAAGCTACACCTATCTGTGACCTAAAATGCTTGGTCCAAGTTAAACAGCAATTCTCATCTGTTTTGTTTGATCTCATCTGTTGACATTTATTATAATTGGGGATGTCAAACAACAAATTTTTAAATGTACTTAAACATAGGCTGTGAATTAATCAAAATGAATCACTATTTCCCAAAATGACTGAAAAAATACCAAATAAAACAAAAGTAAATGAATGCCATCCTCCTTGTGATGATGCCCTGGGCAACTGCCATAAAATCACATCAAGAAATGCTGCTGATCATTCCAATGATCCCAAATACACTCACATTAGGCCACATGAAAGCAACTGAACCCAAAATATATTAACCAGTATATAACTGCACTCACACAACACGCCTGCAGCAACAGTTAGGACTCCTCCCTCCCTTTTAAAAGCGTTTTCGCTTCTGAGGACATTGTGGTTGTAAAACAACATACTAGTAATCTGGCCCCGGTGTGATCAACCAGTTCCTGCTGGAATGTGACGGCGGAGCCGGTTCGCAGCAGCGCGAGCCACCCCCCCCACCCCACCCCGCCCATCTAATAGCGTCGCACTTATGATTTTATAGACTTTTTTTACGAGCTTAGGGCATGTCTAGCCTGTGTAATAATCCGGGGCTTGGGTGAATCACTTTTGAAAAGTTTTAACTTACCCGGACACAGAGCTCTCTCCCTCCTCGCTGATGATTCTGACATGCTTGCTTTTAAGATGCTGCATCATTACTGTAGTACTCCCGTACCATGCTAAGTCTGACCTACAAACGTTGCAGGTAACGAATGTCTTCGCCTGATTTAACTGAAAATGCTCACAAACTTTAGAAGTTTTTACTTATTTTGGGTCTCGCTGCTTCTGCCATGTTCCTCTTCCAAACACCTGCCGGCTCTCCGGTCTGCGCGCAACGGCGGGCGGGAGGGGAGGGGGCTTTTGGAAGAGTTGTGCAACACAACGAATCGATGACGCAATTCGTTGCAAACGCTTTTAGTAATCGATTTTCATCGAATTTATCGATTCGTTGTTGCAGCCCTATTTTAGTGACTCCACTATGCCTAACCCACACCCTAACCCCAACCAATAGGGTTCTATTCCTAAACCTAACCTAAGCTAAAAGTTAAAATGTGTCCTTTTAAACCGATAAAGCACCCCCCCCCCCCACCCCCACCCCCCCACCCCCAACACACACAAAAGATTAAACAAATGCTGACTAGAGACAGGGAGAAGAAGATAGCGCTGCCCTCATGTCCTAACCTTATCTCATCTGTAAACCGATTTTACATAATTCTTGACTCGGACAAAATTTATTTTTAAAAACCTGAGTAAGCAAAACTCCAGCTTCCTTCTTCTCGACTGGATTTTCTCAAGAAATTGCAGCTATAAAAGTGGATATCCCCTCACTTTTATGTCCCCTGTATCACTTCTTCACAGAAAACATTACAGTTTCATTAGCTTGTGCTTGTACATTTTGAAGGAAAATGAACCTTCTGTAAGACTTTTTTAGATGTTTTAGTACAGCATATGTAGGATTGTTGCTATTTGACCTTTTCATTTTGAGCTGAAACAAACACCTAAATATTAAAGAAGAGTGCACATCTATTCTGAGGTTTATTACATGTTTAACGTGTTTTAAAGTAATCCCAACTTCCTCTGTTTGAGCTGGAACACCGCACTTTCTCAAACCTTTCTATTTTCATTTCTTGTCACTTCAGCTTGCTCTTAAAATAAAAGCAGAACCCGCATGCACTGTAAACCCAAGTGTTGAAAATAATCAAATATTTTTCAGTAGGTGAAACTCATAATTTTAAAAAAGTTTTTGAACTCAGTCGTTGTAATTAATCAGAACAATTTATTTTTTAGTAAGCGTTAAGAAAGAACTACACTATAATGAGTAATAGTAACAAAAAAAGTGATTATTTTTTATTTTATGTTTCTACATTTCTCCATTCATCTTTATATATATATATATATATATATATATATATATATATATATATATATATATATAATCATAATTTTTACTCAGAAATCACAACTATACAACAAATTTTGATGTAATGTTTGAGTTTAATTAGTTTTGATCCGAATTTTCTTAAAATAATCATTTAACTGGATTATTTACTGAGTAAAATTAGGTGCTATGTGCAGGTTTTTTATTTACATTAATATTTTTTTTAAAAGCAAACATAGCTGGTCTCACACACACACACACACACACACACACACACACACACACACACACACATGCAAACACGCAAGCACATGCACAGCAGCACCAGCAGGTTGTACTCACTAAGTAGGTTCTGCGTTTCTTCTACACAGCAAACGTATTGATGATGTGAATGGAGATTCACGTTATATATTTTTTTTTTGTGTATGTATTTGTGCTCAGCGTAAATATCTGACTGCCCATTGACATGACGACTGGCGTTACTCGGTCTGCGCATATCGACGAGTAGCACGTATAGTCGAAACACCAGCGATGACAGGTGGCCCACCGGGCAAATTCCCGACGGCCAGTACAGCGCTGGGGCTTGCTGTTCTTAGTTATTACTTCATCCAGTGTTGCAAATGTGCTGGTATTTGTTGTATCATGTTGACGCCATTAGTGAGGAGGTTGGTGAAAGGAAAGACCACGCTGTGCCGTTCTACTAAAATTGTGGTGGTTCACTCCAGATGCTCTGGACTTGACATTGGGTGTTCCACTCTCACCGGCTTTTAGCAGCTATGGGTGTGTTCAGCATGATGTTAGCTTCTGCCTTCACCTGTCTGCCACATTGTCATTATTTAGTAAATACCTTATTTAGATTAGTGCTGTAAACTAAGAACGCCATGCAGAGAATACCCAGAAAAATATAAGTACTTAACTTCAAAAATACATTCATCTTACTTAAAAATACTAATCTACAGCAACTGCATAAAGTGTGTGTTTTCAACTTTCATTAACTCAAAAATTTTAAGTAATCTGTTTCACCAAATTTTTCGAGTTAAAGAGCAAGTAGCCCTCTACAAGAAACTTATTTCACTCCCTCTTCATGTTTGAAAAATGCAACAAATGCTGTTGCCTAGCAGACCGAGAGGGTGGAGCCGCTAACAAATACACACACTCACGACATTGTGACATCATAATGTATCAGCTAACATCATAGTGTACCTCTTAGCCAATAGCGACGGCAGATTTAAATTCAAATGCAGTGCTGAGTTTTTACCTGACGACGGTGCAACACTGACTATTTTAGGCAGAATATTTAAATTTTAACTAAGATGCACTAAAGTGCTGAATTATTGACTACACGAGTCTGCAGCACGATCAGACACTCATTTATATAGCTTATCAGCAAAAAAAATGTTGATTTGGAGTGACTTGCTCTTTAAATCAACTTATCAGGTTTTACAGTGAGGGAGTGTGTTGGAGCTGCTCTGATCTGATGATTATGTTTAGTATTGCAAAGTTGTTATAATCAAGTTTCCTGAAAATGCTTTTCTGTACTCAAGACTTCTCATTTGATCTTATTCATCAGTTCAACGTTTTGCTCCATATGCAGTATCCTTAAATATGATCCTATTAAAAAACATTTACTAGATGATTGGATTTACCCAACTAAGCAAACACCCAATACTAGGCATCATCATCAGCATATATACAATCTAGACTGTCAGATGCAACACAAAGATGAAGAGAACTTCTCTTGAGAACGAAGCTATCTGCTACTGTTAAGTAGTGTCTCTTTAACTTTGTGGAGTCATTCCACACGTTGGCGCGTGATGGATCGCTGGTTGCATTACTCCCGTTATTATACAACCAGGAAACCTTTTTGCATGATGGTTCCAGCTTGTTTTGAAAAAAAGGGCTTAAAAATAAAGAAAAGTTGTGATTTAACATGTTTCTCCAAATAAAAGTTAAATATCTAAGGTAAATTATTCATGCCAGGGCTGGGCGATGTGGAAAGAAAATCCTATCACGATTTAATTTTCCATATTGGTCAATAACTATACATATCATGATATAAAAAAATATATGGTTTATCTTAAATGTTCCCCGGTACTATGAAATGAAACTTGAAATTATGAGACCTATACTATGGATTTAAAGATCTATTTTCAAAAGTTGAACACACCATTGGACATTCCAAGTTTTTTTTTTGGGGATAAACATTAACGCTCTCAGGCTCAAAATAAGTTTTGATAAAAGGATGAAGAACTAAGTCCTTCAGGGGTACTTCTGATTTAAAAAATGCTCAAGAAATACGTATGTGTAACCAGGTAAAAAGATTTTAACGTTGCAAATCTGCAATGCCTGGCTCCAGAGGGTTAAACTGAACTCAAACCTTCATAAGAGAACACACACACAAAAAGACGTTATTTTGCTGTCAAATAAAACAGGCAATAAAATATACCCACTGAGTGCAAACTTTAGCTGCTTTCAAAATCACAAAAATTAACATTGAGCTCAGAAAATATTTTCCAGGGAGTCGGTGCTGTAATGCGTCAGATTTTGCCCTACAGGTTGCATACAAGGAAGACAAGTCTGTCTAAAGCTTCAGGCTTTAAAACTGCCCTGTGGCAGTCCACAATATTATCCCCTGTGCTAAATACCCTCTCAGATGGGTTGCTGGTCGCTGGGATGCACAAGTAGCGCTTTGGCAGCTCACATTTGGAAAGCTTCTCTCGTGGATTTTCCAGCAGAGCAGTGAATCCGTCTCAGTGTCTGCATCTGGTGCCACCAAGTAGTTGTTCCTCTACCTTTCTACTCCTTCTTTGCCAGTGAGTCATTTGCTGGTGAGAGGGTCTGATTTCTTGAAGAAACTGCCTAAGGACTTTCTCTGTTTCTTTTGGGAGGGTGGCTCTGCAGTAGCTTCTGCTGCTTCGTGTCCTGCTTCTTGTGTTCTGAATGAAGTGGACGTGCCTTGGTTTCTCTCCAGCATCTCAGATACTGCTCGCATCTCAGTATGCCCATTTGTGACACTCCAAGGTGTTGAAAATTCACCCACAAAACAAATCCTGTGGACATACCATACATAAAAAATGTATAAAGGTTTTCTTTTGTTTACATTTCTGGTTTTGATCATAAACCTGGCAATACAGGGGGCGTGTAAGTCTTAGGGGAAAAAAGTATTGTATTTTGTGAGGACTGAAGATGGAATTCATGTAAAAAAAAGTATGACTTAATAATAATAATAAGTGGAAGAAGTTTTCTTTCAGAGTTTTTGTGCACAAATACTAAAAATGTGATTTTTTTTATATTTTGTGAGTTATGAGAATCCAGTTATGAGAAAGAGTATTTAAGGGGGCTAATTGTAATTTTCCTTCCTCTTTGAATATTTTCTAAAGTGTTGCAACTTGGGGGTCTCAAAACAACTCTGAAATTGCCTGAAAACAAACTAGCATGCTACTGTAAAGTCTGATTTAACATGGTTCATTTAGATACAAAGCATAATGTAGCTGCAGACTAACAACTATTCAATGAACTTTATTCATCTAAACAAGTTCTGTTTGAATTTTCTTTTCCCAGCTGAAAGTGTGGAGGGTGGTTTCCCAACACCAACGGTAGGAGTTTTAACTGTTAATAAATCAGATTTTATACTATGAATCATGTATGTTTCCCAAAATCACTCATGTGTTTTTCTTATTTTATTATTGCACAGATTGATTTGCTGACTCTGGACTTAGGTTCTGGTTTGCCAAACGACAACTATCCTGATGGTAAATAGCTCACTGTGTGTGTGTGTGTGTGTGTGTGTGTGTGTGTGTGTGTGTGTGTGTGTGTGTGTGTGTGTGTGTGTGTGTGTGTCAATTCATACGATAACTTTCTTGATATTCTTCTCATGTCCTTTTACTTGTTCTAGAATGAGTTTAGTTACCAGAGAATCTGGTATTCACGTAAAAAATCAAGGTGGAAAACCTTCACAATGCAAAATAAAACAACACAAAACACCAGTAGTCCCAACTGGCCATAAGTATAGAAATGCTTTGAACAAGTTCACAAAAATACAAATACTAATACTCAAATATACAAACTCTGTAAACTGACTGGACTCGAACTGTTCTTATCAAACATCAAACAATTAGCAGTTAATTTAAACATGTTAAGCAGTGCTAAAATTATGCAGTTAACATGCTAAATTGCAAACAATGAATAATTACATTTAAATATGAAGTTTGATTCTTACCAGCGTGGAGGACGGACGTCATGGTGCGCTCCATTTACCTCTGAAATTATACAGCTGTACATGACATAAATTTAAGATGCACCCTTAAAGTTTATATTGTAAAATAAACCTGTTTCCACCACAGCTACTATTGTTATCACAAGGAGCTGCTATATCGAACCTCAAAGTTGAATTAAAAAACATTCTCTGACTGTGGGGGTTGTTCTAGTTCATTATTTCTACTCGGAAGATGAAATTTCCAAGTATGGAATTGACAGGAATAAACTGGAGAAAAAACAAATCTGAAAACACTAGACACAGTCGCACCAGTAATATTTAACTATTAGTTTGTTTATTTATTTGCTTTGTTTTTTACTAAATAATTTGGGGCTGATTGTTGCTCTTTATGACCCAAGCTCTATAACTTTTTCTTTTTCTTTGGGTAAACAAGTTAGAAATTGAACTGAATTTTAGAAGTTCCTTAATTTAAGGATAATTACGGTAAATGTTTTGCACTCTGAATATCGCAGTTTGAGGTGTTTCCTATCTCAGCCTGGGTCTTCCCTCTGGTTGATTAATGATTCACCTTTTTATGAAAAACATTCAAACAGTTTCGCTTTAGCCACTCCTCCAGTCTGGGGGTTACTGCCCCGAGTGTCCAGATGACCAAGTGCACCACGGATGTTTTCGCACTCCAGGCTTTCTCAAGTTGTTCTTTGAGGCCCTTGTACTTCTCGTTTCTTGTGTTCTTTTCTCTTCTTATTCTTTTCTCCTCACGTGGTTGATCAAGCCTTGAAAGCTGGTGATACTAATTCCCACAGGTGTTCCAACTTTTCTGATTACTTCAATTCAATTCAATTCAAAAATACTTTATTAATCCCAGAGGGAAACTGATTGACTTATAACCCCCTCTGTCAGCATGAAAGCAGTGTTGGAACATACTGTGGTACCATACCCTCATGAGCATCAGTTGAACTGTATTGTCCTGCAGATAAAAGTGTGTTGCTACAGAAAGGGCGAGAAAAAGGCAGTTACCAATGTGTAGTGGCCAAGTGAACTTGATAATTGACACTACATATTAATTATGACCAATAAGATGTGATGATTTCATATAAATGTGAAATATCAATCTGACTGATCTTTGAATGTTTAGTCAGAAGATTCTAGGGTTCGTTCCTTCTTTAGTGACCATAAACACACTTCATAATAGATAAGATAGATAGATAATCTTTATTGACAGACTCTTAGGTCCAGATAAAATACATATAAAACAACAGATCAATGAAACAAAATAGATAAATAGAATAAAAAGATAACAGCATAAAAGTGAATAAATATCTAAATGTAATTAAAAGCTTAACTATAAACTGTTCCACACAAGGTTAACCACACAAACACTTCAACCAGTATTTCCTTATACTGGAGAAATAGCGACAACTGCTCACAGTAGGATCAGTGATTGCTAAAATTATACTGTTGGCAGAGCTATCCAGTCGGCCTATAAAAGTGAATATGAGTTTTCTTAAAAGAGCTTTAAAAGTACAAACGCCTGCTGTTACAAACATCTGACTGGCACTGCCCCCTCTGGGTATTTTAAGTATGATCCTTAAGGCATCATTGTATGCAACTTGCAGCTTGTTCATGCTGCTTTGATTGTAGGATGACCACAGTTGGGCTGTGTAAAGCGGAGTACAATATGCTTTAAATAAAGCCACCTTAACTGGAGGTGAACAAAAACCAAACTTACGAGCTATAGTGTTAACTTGTGCATACAGCTTACAGCACTGTCTGTGGATGTCAGCATCATCACGCATTTGATCATAATAATTCAGACAGAGTCGTGAATATAGTTTATAAAATGAATTTAATTGTTTTTCCTAAACTAATGATTATACATGACAAGATATGAATAATGAGATGTGTTCTGTCCTCACTAAGTGTTGTCCTCGTGGACGTAGACTCAGCTATCCAGACAGCTAAACACTCTCCCAATCAAAAATCCAAGGAACAGGCCGATGTGTTGAGTTGGATGATTTAATAAGGAAAAAGTGTGAAACTGTTGACAAACCAGAAATAAACCAATAAAAATGTTGCATCAGTATAAAACAACACCACATGAAATCACACTCATGCTCAAAATGTTAAAGAAACCACATGTGAGGTGAGCTAGCTTAACCTTACTAGCTTAGGTTACACCTGCATTCAAATTAAATTCAAACTACAAACTATATCACTCTTTCACAACAATAACAATGCACACAAGTCGTTTCAGTGATAACAGACAATATTACTCACAGATGATGCCGTTTATTAACTTGTGAAGGCATGGATGGTAACAGATTAACAGAGGTGAAACTGCTTCTGGCTAGATCTTGCAGAATAACAAACAACCACTAGAGGGCAAACTACTAAACAGAAAATACCTAATGCCAGCACACTCCCCACCAGGCATCCCTAGGATGTCAAACTGTACATTACTTCACAGAGTTTCTTTGCAACAGAAGTATAACTTCAGACACTGGCCTTACGTACAGTTTCGGAACATTGTCTCTGACTATCTTCACCTCAACCTTCCTGACCTTTCCATCCTCACTCGGAAAAGTCTCCGTGATCAGTCCTGTGGGCCAGTCATGTCTCCCCAGTGAATTGTCTTTCATCAGAACAACATCTCCGTCCATGAGATTAGGCCTCTCTGTTCTCCATTTCTTTCAACCTTGTAGACTACTGAGGTACTCCCTTTTCCACCTCTCCCAGAATGTGTTGGCTAAGCTTTGAACCTGATGCCACTGACGTCTAAAAATATTACTATCACCAAAGTTACCAGGAGGAACAGGAGGTACAGCAATCTTCTGAGTTAGCAACATAGCAGGAGTGAGGATGAGAGGTTCGTCTGGATCTGTGGACACTGAAGTAAGCGGTCTGGAATTGACAATTGCAGTTACCTCTGCCATCAATGTTGTCAGGACCTCATGAGTGAGCTGAACGGACCCAAGCTTGAGGAACATTGCGTCAAGGATCCGACGTGTGACACCAATCATCCTCTCCCAGCTTCCTCCCATGTGTGAAGAGTGGGGAGGGTTGAACAACCAAACACAGCCCTGATCAGACAGGTAGTTGGACACGTCCTTATTGCTACAGCCCTTTGAACTGATCCCAAGCTCTCGGCAGGCTCCAACAAAATTAGTTCCACAGTCTGACCTTAGTTGTTTGACAGGCCCTCTAACTGCAAAGAAGCGTCTTAGAGCGTTAATGAAACTGGATGAATCCAGTGATTCGATGACCTTGATGTGTATGGCACGTGTGCTCATACATGTGAAGATGACTGCCCAGCGCTTACTGTTGGCTAGCCCTCAACGTGTCCTCCTTGAGGTGACACACCAAGGTCCGAACACGTCCAACCCAACAGAGGTAAATGGAGGATCTGAACTCAAACGATCAGCAGGCAGGTCCGCCATTATCTGCTCCTCTTCTCTCCCACGCAGTCTTCGACATGTCACACAGGTGTAGATCAAACTGCTGATGGATCGTCTGCCTCCAATGATCCAAAACCCAGCACTCCTCAAAGCGCCTTCTGTCAAGTGACATCCTTGGTGGCAGACTTGCTCATGGTAGTGTCTGATAAGCAAGGAGGTAACATGATGTTTACCAGGCATGATAATCGGCTGACCTTCTTCTGCTGTGAGTTGTGACCTTTTCAGTCGTCCTCCGACGCGGAGAAGGCCTTCTGAATCAATGAAAGGACAAAGTTTGCTCAGAGAACTCTGCTTAGGGACCTGATCTCCCTTGTGTAGGCAGTGCATTTCTTCTGAATAGACCTGCCTTTGGACATCCAACAAAATTTGGATCTTTGCATGAAGTAGCTGGTCTGGACTGAGGATAAGCTTGCAGTTGTGCCAACTGTGGCAAGGACCTTCTTTTGCTGCCCTTGTAAAGGAGTAAGCAATGTGGCAGAGCCTGGCAATAGCTCTAGTGAGTGACCTCCAACTTGAAAACCGCTCAAAGCGATTACTGCCCAGCTGGAATGACAAGTTTGTGGCACAAGTCGCTACCTCTGGGCGTAGTTCCACATCTGTTGTGGGTTCAACTAGGCCAAAAACTTCCTGGTTTAAGTGACAATGTTGCTTGTCTACAAGAAAGGCTGGTCCAGACAACCAGGAGGAAGCTACAAGCTGGTTAGCCGGGATGGCTCTAGTTGCATGGTCAGCTGGGTTGACATCGGAAGGAACATAGTTCCATTGGCCTTTGTTGGTTGAACGCCTGATCCTTTGCACCCTGTTATGAACATAGACGTAGAACCATCTAGAGTCATTAAATATATAGCCAAGTACTACTTTGCTGTCTGAGAAAAGCTTAATGTCATCGATCAGAATATCTAACTCTGCGGACATAACCTCTGCCAGTTCCACCGCCAGAACGGCTGCACAGAGCTCAAGCCTTGGGATGGTGATGTCAGGCTTAGGCGCCAACTTTGTCTTCCCGAACAGGAATCCAACTTCGCTATGTCCTGCAGCATCTGTGACTCTCAGATAAGCAACAGCAGCAATAGCCTGAGTA